ATTTAGTATTTTTATATTGGGTAATTGAAGATAAAAAATTGGAAAAAATTTAAAATGTCAGAATTCCAATTGTTATTGTGTTATTCATACCCATGTATGGTTGGTGAGTTTTGCCATATTATATACCTCTTTATTACAATTCACGTATATCTTTAGTCTTTTTTCTGAATAAATTTTATATAAACCTATACATTTAATGTTTAACAAACGAAACATTGCTCAAGTATATAATCAAAATTCTTTTAAGAACGTTATTTTTAACTTCGAAAAAAAATTTTTAATGGGACGAATACCGATAGCACATAATTTTTTACGCACGACTTCTATTGTTTTGATACTTTGTACAGTAGTTTGCGTATGTAAGACCAAAATAATGAGTAACACTATGCTCTGTAAAAGTAATGTCAAAATTGTTGTGAAACACAGATATTATCTAACTCAAAATAAGTGAGTTTCCAAAAAAAATAGCGTATTGTATTAGACCAACTATAGAAATTGCGGTTTCAAAATGGTCCAGATTCATGTATCTCTATAAAATACAGAATATCAAAAGCAACTTCTACAATAGCATTGCTCGCTCATTTACGTTATCAAAAAAAAAAAACCGTTCCTTGAAAGCATCAAAAACTTTTTTATCTTGTTAATATTTGACTTTCTTCGACAAATTTCTAAAAATATAATTAGAGAGTTAAAAAAGATATACATATTTAGACAACTCTGCCAGACCGAGAAAAGTGTTCAATTATTATTCTTGGGTTGAGGTTTCAAAAATTTTCAATATAGATGATAAAATTAGTTCTTTATGAATTTTCAAATGTCAATTTATGCTAAAGTATGTCTTTATCTCGATAACAAAATGAAGCAATTCTACTTCGAATGCAAAAGTTTTTAGTTTTGTGTTAACTTGGTCAACTGTTACATCACCTGCTTTCCATCGTTCAAATAACAGTGAATATGAATCGAAAGTACTAATTTAAATATTTATTAAGGTCACATTATCATCAGTCCACTAAATGTAGATGTTTGTTATACTTAATATATTCTATTTTATAATGTCCTGACGTTAATTAAAACGCCAAAGAAACATACTTATGATAACAAGATACAGATCATTGAGTGGCATTTCGTTATTTAAACAATTTATTTTGGTTGCATTTACAATGATTTTAGCTATTTATTTAGTTATTTGGTCAACTTAAAAATACACAGTTTTAATTCCAATTGCAAAAAACTTAATTGCAAAAAAGCGAACTTTGTTGCCTCTTAATTACAATAATTGAATATAAATTGAAGTAAGGATGAAGTCGAGAAAAAAATTCTTCTACATAAACCAAACAGTTAAAACAGGTTTTTTTCCAAACATGGGCAAAACTAATGTAAACAAGAATGATATCTTAAATTTAATTCATTTTCACAGACAATAATCTATTCGATCGCTATACAAGTTTACTATAATTAAGATTAATTTTTTTGCTTGTCAAGTGTAGAACAAAGTATTTCTCACCCTTTGTAAGAAAAACAATATATGCGACTTGGGAACAAACGTACAACAACCGTCACCTTTGAGTGCTAAATTTTATACTTTATGCCTTAGTGACGTAATGTACTATTTTTTCTCGGACGACTGGTTTTGCTACATAGATAATACTGTTTGACTTTGAATGACTTTACACGAGCAGGTATACAAGTAAAGACATGTACAAATGAATACTATGTAAGTACAAAACAGTTCTGGTAACTGCGCAATTCCTAACTTTATTGGTCAAATTATATTTTTCCTACCGAGGACGCAAAGAACGTCTAAACTTGAAAAATAATGTTTCAAGTAGGAAATACTATATTCTTACGATAAGTGTAAGGGATTTTTGCCCTTGGCTGGAGCTTTGTGACTTTTAATTACTTAGATCTGTCAATCGTTTTTCTACCTAGAGTAGAAACTGGTTAGTGGATTTGAAATGTCCTCATGGGTATAAAATAACATTTTACACCCTCCGTAAGAAAAATGTTGTTGGCGATTTGGACAGAAACATACAACAATCTTGCCCTTTAGATGCGCAAGTTGTATTTTGTGCACATGGTGTAAAATGTAATATTTCGCCTTATTTAGCAGCTATTTTTTATATTGAACACAGTATATAGCCTATACTTACTGATCTTTCCCCCTATTTAATACAATTTTTCATATGTTTCGCCTTATCCATTTGTCCAAACAGATTATAATTTTAATTATCATTATGTAAATTTTATGGATCATACGAGATAAAATATTGCTTATTGACACATACAACTGTCAAAGTCACATAGTTACACGGATAAACTTTAGTTTATAAGCCCAATTTTTTATTGTACTGGTACAGACAGAAAATGACATTTAAAGTATTCAGAATGGAGCTCGCTAATCTTATAACTTTTTTGGCAACATGTTTTCTCATTACAACCAGTGGTATGTAAGAAAAAATATTACATTTGTCGGCTTATTAAAATAATGCAATAATAGAGTTCAACAATATAATACTTTTTTATCAATATTGCAGCAAAACAGTTTACTTAAAAAATTATTTATCTACTGATTAATAAACCTTACTTTTTTAACAGTTAACAAGTTAGTTTATTTATTTCTGTACTAAATTTTTTATAATATTTTCTATTTTTTTATGCAACTAAGTAATAACGTTAAATCAATGGTAAAATTATGAAATGCAAGGTGATAATTAATGACAATGTTCAACAATTTTTTGTATTTTCCATAACTACGATACAGAAAAACTGTATAGTCAGCAATCAGTTACGAATTATGATGAATTTTCCCACGTCAATGTAGAACGTCTATAGTTTGTGTAACTCCTTGAAATAAACCTAATTCTCGTCGTTTACATGATTTATAGCAGATTTTTTGAAATAAAATACGAAGAGTACATCATCTACTGAGATATTTTTTAGACATATATGATCTAGAAATATAACTCATATCCTATTTGTTAGTCATTTTATATAAACTGCGATATTCCATGAAGCCTATATTTAAAAATGACGGATTGAATTTATTTCGAGTCAGAACTTTTTTTAAACGATGTAAATCAATTTTTCCTAAATACGTTTTCAAGATCAAGTAGAAAAAAATTGTTACGTGGCCATAAGATTGATAAAACAAGCCAAAATGTCATTACTATAAAACGAATCATTTTAAAATTTTATTTTTTGTGGCTTCTGGTGCCTAGACATTAATTTTTTTATTTTTTTACGATGTACTGTCTAAAATTTTGAAGTGTTGAGCACCTTATCTGATAGTTTAGAATCGAAGAAAATTTTATTTTCAATTACGGGACGTTTTACTTGTGAAGCTTACTTTTGATACTTTGGAATTGCGCGCCACAAATGATTTAATTTGGCTAACTGTTTAATTTTCAGAAACTTGGAATTCATGGTTTTGTATTCCGGAGTTTATGAGAATACTGTAAATTTTTTTGCAGCCCCAAATTTTAATTTGTAGTGTCATCGCAAATATATATCACTGAGCAACCCAATTCTTTGAATCAAAAAAATTTCTTTATCCTCATTCTGTTAAATATTTTCTTGTAATTGAAACAAATTTAGTCGATCCAAAAAAACATTTCATACAACTAAATGAGAAATTCGTAATTAAAAAAAGAAAATTTTAATCTAATAAAATATTATTTTTAATTAACTTATATTTTTTCACTCATAAGAAAATATTTAACGGAATGAGGGTAAAGAAATTTTCTTTGATTCTAAGAATTGGATTGCTCTGTATACAGAGCGTTTTTTCCGGTAAAATAAGCGGTCATTACCGTAACGCCCCTAATCCCGGATGGATTTTAAATAATCGACTAGATGACTGTAGCGTACGAAGGGATATAAGGTGCAGATGTGACAAACGAAATTTCGTTAAAAAATATCGACTTGGGGCTTCACAATGCAAACAAAGTACCGTTACTTGTTATTTTCTTTTTTAAAATTTTTTAATAAATGCATTCAAATTAATACAGGTTTTTAACAAATGATCGTAGAGTTGGGCCCAAAAGTTTTTAACTAGTTTGAACATCACATAACTTGGAAAAAATAATTAAAAAATTCTTTATTAGGGCATAAAAATACAGCAGTTTTTGTGAAATGACCTATTTATACTTCTCTCTCCCTCTCTCTGTTTGTCTGATGTCAGAAAACTAACTAAAAGTGCTAAGGGAATTTTTTACGGATAAGGAGATTTTCTTCCGCCATTTGGATAAAAAAATTGTTTTGAGGCACACCCTTGAAACCGGGCTCATTTTACTCGTAATGTTAATTGCATTGAGTAAAAACTTTTGAACACGGGGTTTCGTGGTAGTGACACCCTCCTTCTGTAAATTACGTGTTAAAACTATACACATATGTATCACACGTGTTTTTTTTTATTAAAATGAGAGAGACAAACGGGATATTTTTTGTGGATCTCCTCATATGCAAAGTATGTTTATACATAATTGTCAGTTGGGGTGTACCCAGCATAAGAAATAGCAGTTTTCCTATCTCAGGCATTTTTCGGGACTTTTGAACGTTTACTGCGTCCTTGGTAAAAAAAAAATATATAGACTTTGCCACATAAACGCCATCCAACCAGTGCTACTCTGTATATATGGTCAAAATAGCTCCGGTGGAGATGGCACTTACGTAACGATAACTACTATTTTTGCCCTAAAGTATAAAGTGATATGGCCCTAAGTGTATCCATAGACGCAAAAAAGTACGAGTACTTTGTGCCCTGGGTAGGAAAACGTCGTTTGTGACTCAGACAGTACCATACTTCAGTATAGGTACTTCATGTAACGAAACAAGCTGTTTTGTCTACTTTCCTTGGCTTAAAAGTTTAACTGAGAGGCTCTCTTACATTTATTTATTTGCTATATCATAAGCTAGTAAGTCTTAGCTTGTTCACGTCCAATGCAATTCTCAGTAGATTGAAATCTTAGTATTTTTTAATTTTATGAAGAGTGACAAGAAAAATGGCCATTTCAGGTATGCCAATTCTATTCTGCACCAAATGACAAAGCTAGTAAGTGTTATTTAAAAAAAAAAATGTGTACAAGAGAGAAGGTATATCTAAGTGAATTGTATAAGATAAGTAACGTTTGCAAACAGTATGACAGACATCTTTCTCATTACTCCCAACAACATAAGCAGTCACACTATTTTTAAAGTTATGAGAACGTAAAAAATGATTGTCTAGACTTGCGTGGCTACGTGACACGATTTTAAAAAATTGTTTGAAAATTTTTTTGCCTTATATTTTGACCTGAAAACCCATATAAATATTTTTAAGCCCGTTAACAATAATGTCAGAAAAAATTGTATCTTTGAAAAATTTTTACAAAAGCTTCATTTTTAGATATATTTTGTTATCTAAAAAGTGGTATGACATTATTTACGAGAAGTTTTGTCAAGTGTTGTATTATAAAAAGCATTGGAAAAAAAATTTGTACACAATAAAATTGTGGACAAATGTGTAAAAAACCCCATGAAACATTCAATTTTTAGATTTGAAAAAATTAAGCCATATTGATTAAAATGATTTCCCCTACCCACTTGAAAAAGATACAACTTTTTACTGAAATAATTGCGTCGTTTACTTTTGAGATACATTTTTTCATTTAGCACATGTTAAATATTCAGTACTCTCTATTAGTTATTCGTGTTCTTATCTTCTTTTTATTCAAATCTGAAAGTAAATTATGAATAAATTATGAAAAAGATAATTATGAAAAAATATAAAAAATTATGGTGAGAGATGTTTAAAAGCATACTGTGAAATAATTATAAGAAAAAATTTTTGATCACAGCTGTGTAAAGATTAAACGACTACGCTACTGATGAACTGATAAAACTAAATTTAGCTAAAGTTTAGCTTACATATTGATCGATGGTATCTTTTGAACGAATGCATCAGTAGACAAAAAATTAAAAAATTCTATGTCAAGGATTGCATTTTAGCGTTAAGCCAAGCGTTATAAAAGCCTTTAATTTTAAAACTCAACGCAGCTCGTTGTTTTCAGCAATCTTTTTAATTTTTGGGAAATCTTATTGACTTTGTGATTCAAGTTATTTTTTTTGTCAGTTAAACACAATTTCTAAATAAACATTTTGACTTTTTTTCTAGAGCTGTAATAAGTTGTTACGTAAAGTATAAATTGTTTCGATTGTGAAGCACAAAAATATCTCTATAGATGATTTTTAGGACGAGTTAGAGTTACACAAATGAGATTGGTTTTTGATGTGATGTATGGTTTGCTTACAAGCGATCACATAATTTATTTGAAACTTTAAACAAAAAATTTTCAGTATGAACGATTAATAAATATTTGTTTCAATTGTATATAAAGCAGTAAACATTAAATTTTTCCTCATTATCTGTACTACTAGTAAAAATATTTATCACGTCTATTGAGTTTGATTATCCCTACACATGAACTACAAAGAAGTTGAATATAAGAGCATATTTTCCATTTTCATATACTCAGTTTATTTTGGTATAACACAAGAGCCACCTTGATCATAATGATCGCTGATTACTCCTCGAATTAATGGTGTAAAAAATTTTTGTACGTTTTTGAGGTTTCAATATTACCATAGACATTTCTTCGTGGGACCGGTACAATCTTTCTTATAAAACAAATGTTTCATCTTCATAAGAACTTGTCTGAAGTTGAACTTTTGCTTGACAAACAGAGAAATATTTTCGATTTACATTGCAGTTGCTGGTCTCAAGACAGAAAAAATCGTGGGTGGTCGTTTATCCAAACTAAATGAGAACAAGTACCAAGTTTCCATACACAAGGGTTCCTCCCACATTTGTGGTGGAGCACTCATTGCTCCTAATATAGTTTTAACTGCAGCTCATTGTTTTTATGATAAAAAAACAATGACTATCGAAGAATTACCTTACGTGGTCGTGGCAGGGACGATCAATAGAAATGATAACACTCACAACAGTCCTGTAACCAAAGTATATGCTCACAAAGATTACAGAACGTTGGAAAATGGGAAAGTTGTAAACGACATAGCTTTATTAAGGGTCAGTATAAATCGATATCAATGGAAATTACATAATACACGGTTTTTCGTGACAAAATAACTTATAATCTTGATGCATGTCCCTTAGCTCGAAAATAATTTCGATGTGAGTGGCCGTCTGCCTATTGGGTTGGCTTTATTACCAGGTCAAAAAGAAGATTTCACGCAACAGACAGCATTAGTATCAGGTTACGGTTGGGACGAAGTTATCGTCAAAGGTGACGGTGGTATTCCCAAGGAAGAAATAAACGGTACTTCATCGGGAAAATTAAAGCAAGAGTATGTAAAAATCGTTGGGCCTGATCAATGTGGCGCACAAAAGAATCCAAATTTGTTGTGCGGTCAAATGGTTCAATCCTCCAAAATTCATCAAGGCGTTTGCTCGGTACGAGACTTTGAATTATTTTGTTTAGCAATCTTGAAATCAATGGTTATACCCTTAAAGCCAGTTATGAACATTCTTCCCAATGCATATTTGTAACATTATTTTTAGGGTGACAGTGGTGGACCTCTCATGTTGGGGAAAAAAATCATTGGAATCGTGAGTACATCGCCGATTGGATGTGATGAATCACAAGTATCAGCTACGTACACCAAAGTCTCTGAATTCTTGGACTTTATTCAGGACGCTATGAAGGATAAAAAAAGAAGCGACATGACGGTGAAAACTATCAACTTCGTTTACTTTGACATACCATCTCTACCACTGAAAGGAAAAACTAGTTCCCCTCAACTCCAAACAGTTCTTAAATATCTTCAAGTAACTTATCCACAGTATAATGCGGAGCGTGAAAAGTTACAACAATTGACTATAGCAGTAGACGATGCCGAGAAAGTTTTCAAAGCATTGGAACCAACGGCTAGCGATAGCGAAGCAAATTATAAAGTGTACGACGATAAATTCAAAAAATATCAAGCTAAACATGCCGAATACAAGGCTCAATTTGATGTGGTTAAAACATTAGAAACTTCAGTTGGCGATGCAATTACAAAATTCAATGCATTGCAAAAAACAGAAAAAATTTATATTTGAATAATCGTTTGTACTGATATACTTATGCGACATAATTTTTATCAATCATAAGTTTACTCGCACGTTGGCTCATCACTTAAAACTCAAAAAGAAATTTTTGCAGTTCGTGTGTGTTTCATATTATGTAGTTACAATTTTAGATATACCAGAATGCCTTAAAGTATAAATCACAGTATGAATTTGAGGTCAAACAAATAATTTTTATTAACTTGTGCAAGAAAAATCAACATGGTAGAAATACTTTTAAGTATTGTAAAATTGATGGAGATTAATTAAATGTAATTCAGAAAAGTCTTTTCCAACATTTTTTTATAAATTACCAATAATAATTAATGAGATAGAATAATCAATGAAATACATGTTTTATCGATTTATGTGTTAGTAATGGATTTATTTGATACTGTACATATTTTCATGCTTTAGACATTTGATTCTATCGTATAAAATATTCAAAAACAACTAATATATGCAAAAAAGTGTTGAGCTATACGCAAGAAGGTCAGCAGCACCATTATATCTGCTATTTTCACATTTCGTCTGCCAATGCTTCTATGCACTACTTGATATTTTATCATCTACACGTCTTCGACTGAAAATTCATAAACGAGGTAATCATGTTAAACTCGATCATAAATTAAGAACTGCGGGTGAAAATTTTAAAAAAATTGAGGACGAGTCATAAATTTGCTTACTTCTTGATGGTTTGAATTGAAAATTTACAATGATTTTTAATTGTAGTGCTGATAGAAATTAAGTGTAAAATAAAATCCTATCAAAACCACATGTTTCAGAATTATTGTCCGTTTATATTTACTCTACAAAAGAACCGATGAATTAAAAAAAAATCAAGTTCGATTTGCTCAACAACATCAAAAGTTCTTATTCAATTGTGTTAATTTTTTTTTTCTTAATTTTGATACTATTATTAACTAGTTTCAAAAAATTTTAAATAAACAAACAGTGAAGGAAGCTTCATATCTTATGTTACAAGGTCAACTTTAGTCAATACAAAAATACCAGACCAAATTAGTTAATAAATGAGAAAAATTATTTCATCTGATTCTTGTTCCTTACATTTTTTCTAACTAAAATTTATTTCTCAAGACCTGTCAATGCAAAACGTACTCGCAGTTTTTGGATAGCTCCTCGACTATTTGGAAAAAACGCACTCATTCTAACAATAGCAAACTCCCATATGTAAGAAAGTGAGCTTCAATTATTTTCAGGATTCCAATGATGTAGGTAGTTAATTATTATAATATAAATTAGAAATATCTTCACAGATAAATCATTTATATCTATACAGACACTTATATCTGCACACTTTTACATAATTTGTTTTAGTTTCAGCGATAACTCTTTTTAGAAAATTTCATGATTATTTCGATTGTACAACAAAAATAATTAAATTAATTATAAAAACTTTTTAAAAATTGATAAAAAAAATTGATAAAAAAAAAACAAAAACAAAAAATGTGGCAAAAATACTTTCTTGTAGTTATGAAATAGTTGAAACAAAAAGAAAACGGATGTTTTTGTCAAAGTATTGAATACTTCTTCTTTTGAATTCTGAAATTTCTGCAATATAGAAAACATTTATGACACCTCATCTTGATGTAAGAATTTTTCATCCATTACAGAGCTTCCCCTATAAAAAAGCAAGAGGAGTTAATAAGCTCTAAAACTTATTATTCAAAATAATATTTTAATATTATTATTATTTTTTTTAATTTCAAACAGGCTAGTACACGGATGTTCGCAATGACGGTGGTACTGAAAGAATATAATGAAAACGTTAGATGTGTACTTTTCTTATAATACTTAAGTCCCAACTATAACTTTACAGTAGTATAGACGTTTTAATTGTTAGTATCACGATTCTATTTACTCTTACATTAGTGCTAAAAGCTGTGTTTCCACCTACTGAAGTTTAAATAGGTAATATAAGAATAAATTTGCTTACTACTAGTGTACATCTTTAAAATCCAAAAAATATCATGAATACTTTTTTATAGTTTTTTTTATTTTTAAATTTAGTCATAAGGGGATGTAAAAGTAAATTTAAATTTAAATTTTTAGGTACCAGCCTCTGTCGGTAACCATACATATTTCTATTGTTTATTTAAAAACAAATGCATGATTAGAAAAATCCAAGATTGTATACACTAGAAAGCAGTGTTATTTTTTACAGTATAAAGTTTGGAGTTAATATGTGGTCGAAAACTTTAAAATTTTTTTAATGTTGTCACCTATGTACTGATTGTTGTTACAGTTGGTATTGCTTTTTCTGTTAAATTTTTTATATTTTACAAAATTTATTTAAAACATCATTTAAAATGCATTTTTAATACAGACCAAACATTCTATACAGTTGCAAAACTTTTTTGGTAATCAGTGGTACAAACTGTTTGTAAAAAAAATACTTTACAAAGATTGCAGAAGTTTATAAAAGATAAACACTTACACCCATACACATTTTTTAATTTATTTTTATCCGAATAATGAATTTGGAGACATGGCCATCTATCTAGAAGTACATTCATTCACTGAGAATCACCTACATTAATTGTAATTTACTTCAAACCAGTTAAAGCTTTTTTTTATATAACTTCACTATATTGTAGATTTTTATATGTAAATTATTTAAAAACAATAATAAATACAAAGAAAAAGTAAGAAATCTATTTTAAAAAAAAATTATAAGATTTAAAACTAAAAAAAAAACACACAAAAAGAAGAAGCCAAAATTATTTGTACAAAAATCACAGGTGTTCTAATACTAAGTTACATCCACACTTATACACCTACACCCTCACGTATATTTGAAGGCATTATTATCTTAATGAAATTTTGTATGTAAAACTTGAAAAAACTTTAGATTCTGTAACAAAAACAGACTGAAACTAAGAGAAAACAGAAAAAATAAAATGTTTCGAAAAATCGTACTTTTCAAAATCGAGAGAGGCAATATCAAAAACCCGATCGATAAAATTAAAATTTCGTTTTACTCAGATGATGGATATGCAAAAACAAAAAAAGACCAGGGTGTGTCAAAATTTGTTACAGGGACCCTGAAATCCCATGACATGACTGATTACGTACACACACACTCACACACAAACACTTTGAAATGCAGAAAGAAAGAGAGAAAGAGAAACACTGTCAGGGTACTTTACTGTATCGTAATTCCTTTGAAAAAAAATAAATTTTTTTTGGTAAAAAAAATCGTTGAAAAAAAAATCGTTGGAACCTGAATTTTAAAAAATCTCCTTAATAAAATCTGAACTTTTTTTAGAAGTAATGGGTAATTAGATACGAAAATAATAAGCAAAGGTTTATCGTAATGGATCAAGGAAATCCTTAGAAATGATCAATTATTATTTTTAAGAATTTTTTCACTTATATGTTTAAACATACACCCATACACAACTATATTATTACTTCATTACGTTTTTGGAAAAAGATTCGACATTATTTCAGTTATATCAAAACTAAAATAAAATATCCTAAAACGTCGAGAAAAAGGAAAAAAAGTTTCTGCATGATATGTATCATTAAAAAACAATAACATTGAAACAAAAAAATAATAGTCATAAATAAAATCAAAATTGTATTGTACAACAGTAATAAGTGTCTAAAAACAGGAAAAAATATGGCTACGATTTATCAAAATCGGTTGAAGGACTACTGAAGTATGCTAAATCGTATATTTCATTAGCCATTTTTGCTGTATTGAGGATGCGTAAGGAACGTTTATGTATGATGAGATCTGAACATAAATGTCTTCAAATTATGTTATACTTGAATCATTCTTATTTCTTCACAAACGAGGATTGCATGGCTCACTCCTGTACGTAATTGAATATCATTTCGTTATCACAGAACTACCAGAGTTTTCCCTTTTGGGGGATATCTAACCTAATAATAGCTGCCCTTCTGTGCGAGATCAAAAAAATCGGAGAATCGGTATGGGTGTTTGTCGAGTAAATCAAACAAGCAGAAAGATCAAGGGAATACCCTACCCATGCGTCAAATCCTATTCAGAGATTTATCGGGTATTTATTTATGCCTTACTTGTGTAACTTTGTGTAATAGTAATAAAATTATTAGCGAATGATGATTGTTTATACCGGAATAAACTTCAAGTATGCTGTTTAAAGAAATAATTCTAGATTTTACGGAATAATCCTGGAAAACAATATTACACACATTTGGATTATACGTACTTTGTGTGAGTATATCCTTTAAAAACAATGCAAACATCTTCAGGATTAGTTGTGCCATGATAGGCGAAAAGAAATTTAATCATTAATTTGTTCTAAGCATAACAAAAAACAAAATTCTTTTACCTGAAGTTTAGACATAGCTCTTTACCAAACATAATGCAATATAATTAGTCCCATATATCAAAAAATTTTTGAGTTAAAGTCCAGATATTCAAGGAGCAAGTAGCTACAGTTAACCTGCTGGGCAGAGAACATAGAGTAAGAATATACCATTGCAGTGTCTTGAGAAAATGCAAGACCTCAATTTTTCAGCGGTTCCATTGAATTTGGTGATGGTACGAGGACAAACAGCTCGTACTACATCTCAATTGGTCGCTTCTCGATGGTCTAACGCTCCAAGCTTGTATGCTGCACAGCCTTCGTGTCACATATTAAGTACCATTCCATTACATGTTTGCTCACTATTGAATTCCTTATTTATAAAAGGGATAAATATGTCAAAGATCATCGTTGTTTTGATTAGAAACAAAAAGTTTGGAGTTTTTTTTCGTCTATAGCAATGATGACACTTATTATATCACTACATACAAATAATATGTAAACTTTTAAAAGGCCTAGCTTCAGAGTATTTCAGAAACTAAATGTTTGAAACTCAACACTTTAGAAACATCAATTCAATGTAACCAAAGTTGTACGCTTTAAGTAGTGCCTACTAGTAAATATGAAATATTCAAGCCGTAAAGACGCAAGTCATGAGTTAAAAAAAAAAATGACGCAAAGATGAAAGTACGTATGGTTTTGTATTCCTTATCCCGATAGAAAGCGATATAAAGGCAGAGGCGTAAGGGCTAACATAATGATGACAGACAACAGCTAGACTAATTGGTCGCTCAAAATAATAGCTCATTTGATAGGTACAAAACCCAAGTTGAATTATATATAAAGTCGATTCATAATATTGCACATTGAATGACTAATTATTTTTGAAAAAAATAGAGTACACCCACTTTTTATGTTTCAAAGAATAAATTAAGCTCAAAGTGGTGAGATTGATTGAGAATTCAAGGTGGAAAACGAAAAACTAGATGTTAGACTTTCTAGGTGCAACTTGATTTGTTGTTATTCTTCTTTGCATTGCAATACATCTCGCCAAAATAAAGCTCCATCAATTCTTTGGAAACTAAAGAATGTGTGACACCTTTTTTTTTCATATTTATTAGCTGATTTAACGGTTTATTTAAAATTAACACAATATTCTGTAGATTCGTATGCTAAAAACTAATTAAATAAAAGAATAACCTTACGCTGCATCTTTGTTGGATTACGTTATTTTTATTTAAAAAAATTTTTTCGTACAAGTTTATGAAAAATAGTTGAATAACGAAAATAAAAAGAATAAGTGAAACTTAATTCCAATAATATCAACTGTAAATTGAAGAAGAAAGACGAAAAATACGATCACGCTTCATAAGTCTGAAATCTGAGTTTTCGTTTTTCACCTTGAATTCTCAACCAATCTCATCGAGTTTAAGCATGATTTATTCTTTGAAGAATCGAGAGTGCACGTCTACATTTTTTTTTTTTTTCAGACGAAATAGCTAGTTATTTATTAAATAATGTTGCAAAGACTGAAGATTTTAACAATTCCCAGACTGCGCTCGAACACTTTGTCAAGTTCGATGGCAACTTGGCGAGATAAGAGCAAGTTTTTTTTCTTCAAACTTTTTAAAGTATGGTAATTTTAATTTCCAAATGACTTGAAATTTTTCTCTTGTTATTTCACATAAGTACGCGTCGCGGTTTTGAAAACCGAGATGAACGCGAAACAAGCAAACGTAGGCAAACAGGGACATCGACCTCGTGCACGTATGCATATATGTGTGTATGCCCGCATGCGACAATTTTTCACACTCGATCAAAAGAAAATGCTTACGAATTCAGCACGTACACACAGATATATCCAAGCAGACGCAAAAAGTTTAAGAGAGTGCTGTTAATCTTCGTGGAGTATATTGTACATGTAGAGGAGCAAAAAAGCGGGAGCAGGTGTAAGTATCGCTCGGTCAGTTAGTCGCTGCGTGCGATAGGTACATGTACGCTCTCCGGAGGGGCTGGGTGCGCAGAAAGGATGTCAGACCGCGAGGAGGGGGGAGCGTATAGTCACGGTGGTGGAGGGAGCGAGAGGGAAGGGGGTTGAGAAAAAGCTGTCTGCTGCACGGCAGGATAGACGGAGGGGGCGAGGGACGGGTGGTTGCAAGCCCAGCCATGTGGAGGGTCAAAAAGCCTATACCTGCGTCCTCGACTGGAGTCTGGGTCTCAGTAACGCGCGGAACGCCGAGACAACCCAACCGCTCGGCCGTCCCCACCTGGATGCTCTCGAGTAGCGAGCCCAGAACCGCATCCTGGAACTCGATCTGCTGTTCCAAGCACGTGCCTGCCCACATTTCCCCTCCCTTCTCCGCGTCTTCATTGGGAGCTCCTGAGCAAATTAGCCGCCGCGCGATCAACAGGTCATTGCATCGCGGAAGCGTGCTCGCTTCACTGGATGGAAGTATGGATCTGCACTCGCGGTCCAGCAGTTTCGATGAGAAAAGTAACGAGGCTTGATCCCTGAAGGAACTTTGTTTTTTCTTCGCCAAGTTAGCAGCAGCTCGAGAGCCCTCGAAACGTTTTCTTCATCGGAAGTTGGAAACTAACTTAGCTCGGGTGCCCGGCAGAAAAGTTTCGATTCTCCATGAGGCGAAATCTCGAGCCTCGGCCCAATAAACTCCGACCTGGTGGTGGAACTTTTTTTGGATTAAAAACTCGCGCTGCGGGTGATCGGAGAAGGGCATCGTTGGTTCGGCGAAATAACGCAGACGCGAGGAGGGTTGCGGGGGGTTCGGAGGGCAAAAGTAATTAGGCCATTCAGCTGGCGCACGCGGTTGACGAGAACAAAGGGGCCCTCGTTATGCGGGAAATGAACAACAGACTGGCCACCTGCTTAGCATAAGAGAGCCCTCCGAGAGGATTCTGATTCTGTGTTCTGGGAACGGGGTTGGGGTTGTTATCGCGCCCACGCTGCAAGATTGGAAAAAAGAATTCGACACTGGCACTTGTGGACGGAGTTCTGCGATCTCCTGTGTTTGGCGCTCTTGGAATTTGAATCTCCATTATTTCTGCTCCTCGAATTCAACGCCCATGGCGTGGTTCGATCTCCTGTCGTTGACCAGCTTTTGGGTATACTTTTCGTACGATTTGGTTATCTTGCATTAGCCGACCGTTCCAGCTGTTTGACAGTTTAGTGAAAGTGTTAAGCGATAAATTTTAAGGTAGTTCCAATGAGACAGTGATGGTGTTATTTTTACGATCCACGTTGTGATGAGAAAAAGACAGGGATAGAATTGTTTTCGTATTGCATGAAGCAGTGGAAGTTTACTTTCTGAGATTACACCGGATTTCGTGGAAACAGAAATTATTTATGTAAGTTTAGAACTTGTTGGATTTTTTTTATTACCATTTTTGCTGTTGTAATCTGCTTCTCTTTAATTTTATTAGAAATTATGGTTTTTTTTTTTTTTTTCATTGCTTAACACAGCTTTGCACGCTACAAAGGATTAGAGTGAATTCAAGATAGCTTATGCATGAATCAAAAATGTTTTGGATCAAGTTGAATTTTTATTATTATTTTGACAGTTTCAATACTTGTACCAAGTCAAAAAAGATGTAAGTTTTCTTTTGAGGCAATCAGAATATTTTTATGGTTGTCTTTTATTAGTTGCGAGTACTTTGTCTTCTTGCATAATAAAGCACTTACAAATGAAAAATGGTCTGCTTCAACAGTTATTCAATTTAGAGCCATATACATAAATCATCTTGACAGACAAAAGCTTTTTGACACGTATTCGTAAACAACACAAAAATAATAGTTCATGAATCGAGTATAAATCTTTTTTTATTGGAAATCGAAGTTAATTTTGAAACAAATTTTTTAATGATCTAATATATCAATATCTAATCGAGTATATAGATAACTTGTGACAGATATAAGATATTAATGTATACAGAATTTTTAAGGCTTATTTACATTTTATAAAAGTTTTTTACAGCAAATTAATTGTTACTGCCCTATTTTTAATAATAATTTATCCATATTAGTACAACATAGGTGCAGTTCGATACTTCTCTTGGGATCGTAAATACTTGAATAACGCAAGTAATTATCCCTCAAAATATGCAATGAAATTTCGTTTCATACATTGTTATTTTCAATCAGTACTGCTAAAAAATACGAGTGTTTTCGATAATGATTATGACCGTAACAATACTAAAACAACAATGGTAACCGTAACAATATCGGAAATATTAACGATAATCATAAACAAATTGGTACTCAAAACCGTACTCAAATTTTGCCAGGTTCAAGTTTTCATTTAACTTTTTTTTGCTCTGGTTCTCATAAAAAAAATGGACATGTAGAATCTTTAGTATTCAAATGAAAAATTCAATTAAAATCTTTTTTGTTAGTTGACATTTGAAGGTGAGCGGTATTATGAGAAAATATAGATAAGAACTTTTGACTCCTTGTTAGCGCGGTATTCTCCAGTTCAGTGCAGTCAAGTCTTAAATGACCTGTTGGAGAAAGTTAGCACGTTAAAGATAACTTCTGCTCGTAAATGCCTCTTATTATACTGATCCTTCCCTTTTATCTATCATCGTCGCCTCAGACGGCTCAGGAGTTAGATCGGCCACGCGATGCGAAGGCTGGCAGCTAAACTTTTTAGGATTGAAAGAGATGATTTGGCTTAAAAATAAAACACGCCGCAACTCGGAGCTGGGCTGGCTCGTTTCGTATCGCACGAGTTGCTCCAACTTTTTTACAGGTATCGCTGAGACGGATCACCCCTCTTTATCCCACGCAACGACATCTACGAGTTATTTTAAGATCAATTTCAATTGAGTATTTTTCGTGCTCAAATCAGATTAGAGTAACAAAATCAATTTACTTTTTCTGTAAGGCTTTTTGACCATTATATGTTTTTTTTTGTACAAATGGCAATTTTATCTGTCAGCCGCGTTAGTCTCGATTAAATATACGATGAACAAAAAAATGTTAAATTTACGCAAGCAGTCAAACTTATTAAGAATAACGATAAATAGATAAGTAAAATTTCAGGTAAACGATTAAAAGTATAAAAAAACGACATAACGAGAAATCGCTTGTGGAGATCAGTAGTCACGGTCAGTATTTAGTCAGCCGTAAAGGAAATTTTAATAAAAGCCGCATAAAATGCATACATCTCTCGTACAAAGATGTATCATAAACACCGACAACCAAAACATTTCTCTCCATTTGTGCGTTTACTTTTGAACATGTAAATATTGTCATGTTTGACAATTTTTTTTTTCCCGCTCAACGTTTGTATGGAATCGTAAAGCAAACAATTTTTTCAACTGATGTCGCTTATGCTCGAAAACTACCGTGAGAAAAGCGTGGCTGGAAAAAAACGTATGAAATATTGGTGCGCATTACTCAACGTCATCGATTTCTTTTATTGCGCTTCAAGTGCATGTGCCATCACACAATACGCCGGTGACTTGCAATACGAATATCTGAAAAAAAAAGAAAAAAAAACAAACAAAACATTTCACGTTTCAGACGCGCGTGAAAATGTGCTGCGAGAGACAAATTCGCATTTCACCACGAAACGTCGAGTTGACGAGATTAGTGGCACCTTGAGGGTACAGAGTCTCGTGTGTCCATATCGCAAAGGCCAAGGGTAGAGGAAGGGGGAGAGGCAAAAAATGGCCACCAGCCACAGCAGCCATCACCCGAAATCTCCGAGGAGTCCTCGGCAGCTGCCAGCGCTGCCGGGCCACCGGAGTCCCAATCAACTGACCTGCACCAAGTCGCCCAGCACGACGCGGGTCTTTGAGTTTCCGCCGGAGTTCTGCGGCACAAACTTCGATGGCCTCGGCTCGTCAAAGAGTCCACAGGTGTGTGAGAACCATATACATACACACCCACCATATAATACACAAAAGCAGTGCCATTGTGTGCACGTGGGGATACGCGCAGCTGTGCACGGTGATTATTTGCATTAGTTTTGAGAGCATGCGTGTGGGTAAGAAAAAAGGGAAAGTGAGAGGGAGGGAAGGGCAAGAAAGGAAAGTTAGTGGGGTGGAGGGTGGCCAGAGTTGGCCGCGCTCTCTCGGTTTTAATCATTCGCATGACTGTGAAATATTTGCTGGGGCGAGACGTATACACATACGCCCTTGTTGTTCTAATGTTGGGCTCCGCGTTGATGACCTCTTTTCACTTTAATAAAGACCATTTTTTTTTCGTCCAGAATTCATAAGACTCTTGCATCTCAAAAAGCTTTGTCAATGCGCAGTCGTTAAGTCGTTTTTATTTATCATTCCGATTTCCACGCCGTGAAACATGGCAGAGTTTTTCAACTAAAGAAATTTTTCAACTTCAAATCACAAGAATTTTTGTTTCATAAAAAGCTCACATAGTAGGTATTGTAAACAATAACTGAAGTGGTTAGTCGAAATTACAAACCTACAAGTACATACATCAATGTCAAAAGCCATGTATAATACACGAAAAAAAGTATACACATTTCTGTTGGTGCATTCTCATCGATGCAAGAGTAATTTTTTGAACTGATACTAAAAATTACAATGCTAACGTATGGCTCAAATGTTTTCAAAGTCAAGTGTGGTTTTTCTTGCGCCACAGTGAACGGAAATTCAAATGCTCGATCCGTCTACTTCTTACCACTATACTTGCATACAACATCGTTAATTAGAATCACCTAATAGTTAGTATCATTACATTGTAGAATGTGTTTCACCAGTGTATTGTAACTTTTTTCGTGTAACGTTCAAAGTATCGCTTAAGGAGTTTCATACATTAATCTCTAATGAATTGCTCGTCGAGTTAATAAAGTCATGTTTAACTAACTATTTCACTAAACTTACTAAAATGCAGTTAATAAACTTTGCTCAAAATTTTTGATGCTATTGAAACATTTCGTTCTATTACGCTTCATGAAAATTTTCGGAACCTGCTATCTACTTGGAAAAAAACTTCAACTGTTCCATAGTTAAATTTTTGTTTTCAATGTGTCATCATTTGTTAATAAACTGTGAATGCGTATGCAAAATTTTACATGGAGAAATTGAGTAAGAACTGCTTCGTAGTACACGGGCTATGCGTGTTTCAACAGCAACCGATGCTTTCGTTACACGTATTCAGCATAAGCTGATTAATGATGCATTGGAGTTTTGGTTAGCATATTTTGATAACGATCGATATGGCCAATATTTTTAAAGATGAATTTTAAGATATTGCACAAGCTTTCTTGCACTAGATATCAGAGTATTTTGTTGCACATTATTTTATTTTATTTTTTCAAAGTACAAAAAAATACAGATGGCTGTAAGAGTTCATGTTGCGATTTCTGACTTTATTGCTCTTAAGGTTAAAAACCACTGGATAAAAAATGCTTTAAAAATTCATGCCGATTTCCAACAGCCTAATTAATCATACTTGTAAACTACCTTTCTGGTACTGAATTTTATACGATGAAGGTACGAGCCTCAATTTGTAAAAGGCGTCCAGACTTTTAATTTGAATGAGCGCAACATAATCAGACAAGACATTTTATCAGTAAGACAAATTCCTTCCTTACAAATCTACCTCAAGGCCCCCAAATCCAATCACTATACTTACTTGCAATAGGGCCATTCCGCGAATTCGTAACCATCACCATGATCCGTTTTCGACTTTACAGAGGAGCCCCAGCTCGTGCAGCAGCAGCTCATCGCAAACCGTACCCAGGAGCGCCAGCCTGCACGGCGGCAGCTGTCCAGCCGGCTTGAAGAGCCCGTGCTCTTCGGGCTCCAGTGGCTCGGCCATTTTTCAGTTCTGCAAGCCCCGGCGCAACATCATCAAGACCTTGAGTTACCCGCCCAAGTCCCCACTCGACTCGCCGAGCACCAACACCCGGGGCAAGCAACCCAGGCCAAGCAGCCCGCGCGGCCCGGCCCAGGCACCCGGACCCTCGAGCCGCCAGCGCAACATGAGCCTCAACCTAGGGCCCGACTCGCCAGCCTCGCCGAGCATCGTCACGCCTTCCTCTGCGCGGGGTCTCGCGAATGCGGCCGGGGACTCACCCTCCGAGGAGCTCTTTAGGGACTCGGCCTTCAGTCCCGACGGCTCCGCGAGTGTCGCCGGGCAAATTCAGTCCGCTGAGTTGGCTGGTTGGCGCCGGCAGAGCTTGAAAACGTACAAGAAAAAGCGCTCGAGGAGTAAGGCGGTCCACGGGTGCCTGAACAAGAGCCAGAGTTACCTGAACGAGGTGGCCAAGCGGGAGGCCAAGACGGGTTGCTCGGCCGAGGGGGGGAGGAGTATGTCGAGGAAGTCGACGAGCGACCTCACGGAGCTCAATGACGCCGACACGGAGGTCACCGTGCTGTCCAGTCCGAGGAGGAGGGGGTCCATGAAAGGGGGCCTAGGTGAGGGTTGCTTTGAGACTTTTTTCTTTACTTACATATGCTTTCAGTGTGATCATTTAGTTGATAAGAGTTTTTTAGGATATTTTGAGTGTGGTTGCATCTGATGGGATTGGTCGTATGGAATATTGGAAGCAAAATCAATCATTTTCATGGGGATTATGAGGCTTATGTTTGAACTCGTAGAACAGACAATCAAATTTTTTTTGTGAAAATATTTTTTTACTCATATTTGAGACCAGCTCTGTTATTTCACTGCCGTATGCAAAAGTAAGTTTTAGTAGTAAACCTCACGCTTGAATTTATTTTTGTCTATAGAAAACTTTTTTTTTAAAAATGGATGATTCTGCCGCAAGTGGCCAATTTCGTGTCCAGTGCTCATGCTACTACAAGAAACTAAAAAATTGAATGTTTAAACTGCGTGAAGTTATATTGAAACTATTAAACTTTTTTGGAAAAAACTTTCAAGCTGATATGTTGACTCTTCAATGAGATAATTCACAAAATATAGTGAAAATGTCACTTTCGTACCCTGTCCTAATCTCCATTTTGCACCTAAAAGCTCCTACTTGGAAAAAAATAACCTTTTCAGCAAGACTTTTCATCAAATACCAAATGTCCCACGATTTGAACTGAAATGTCGATGACAGCGAAAATCATTTTGATAACTACACTGTTAAATTTCGTAACATCTTTTAATGGTCATATTTATAGTATCATATCATAAAAAGACAAACTTACAACCCAAAGCTGTCAAAAATTCCAATCCCTTTATTTCACACATATTTCAATTTTCAATTTTCGTGTGCACAACCATTTTGGTCACTTCTGTACCCTCCTAGACTCCTCGACCCTAGACCAGCCACTCTGTTACTCATACATATAAGGAAAATTTTTTTTCTTGTACTATTCATAGATAATAGATGTCTTTTAAGTGGAAGATCGTTTATGTTGAGTCTACGAGCCGCAATACTACTCCAAAGCTCTTTTTTTTTTTTTTTTTTTTTTGATGGAGCGGGGAGGGAAGAATCTTCATAGACACCCCAGCTAATACGGTGGTAGTGTCGGATTCACCCGGTGTGCCTACCGACTAAAAACTAACCTCCCCGCATGGGACAGGTCCGTGAGGACCACTCCCCTCGAAGACAAAAGGGCATAAGAGGAGAGAGAAGAAGGAAAATAACGGAGAATTTCGGAGGCCGACTCGCTCTCGAAGAGATGAGAGGAGGGGGCACTTGCGCATCTGGGCGAAGCACTCCAAAGCTCGAAATGTCACTTCCGTACTCTCTTTTTCTAGCTTTCGAGCATCAGAACTTTACGAAAGTTTTTTCCAGTAATATTGGGATAAATCATGAGACACGTCTCTCGGCGTTTGATTTAATTGGCTTTTTTGTGCGATGCATCAATGAATATCGCTTCAATTTATAACAATAGTAGCGAAGAAGTACACGATTGTAGGTGGTTCATAACAGGTTCAAATCTCTGCTGAAACAAAGGTCTATCAATTAAAAAAAAAATTTGTTGAATTTGGTTTTACCAAACAAAATTTTTAGGGATTAAAAAAAAAATTATGAATTTCCGACAAAATCTACGAAATCTTGCTTTGAGCGATTTCCATCGCTCCTCTTTAAACAGCTATAACTTTTGAACGGAGGCACTAAATGAAACTAAATTTAATTTCAATCGATAGGGTTTAATCCTAGCTTTCATGTAATCTGCGTTTAACTATACAAGCAGCTTAGCTACGTGCATTAGAAGCAGAGGTATTTTTTTCGAAAATTGACTAAAATTGACTTGTACAAAATACCATACATCTTTTGATCCATGATTTCATACTGGAATCGCTTTGGATACTTGTTGTAGATGATATTTAAAGTAGAACTACTATGCAAAATACTTTTTTCAACCAACTTTTTTTAAAACGATTCTTTGAGAGATTTTTAGCTATTTTCGGCAGAATCACTTAAGTATACATGTGCTTTTTACATACACTAAGACTTTTTGTTGTAGGAATACAAATCGTTTATTCTTGTCGTTACCTGCTGTAATAATGAAAGGCCGTAGTAAAAAAATTTTTTGCTATTATAACTATGTGTCTTCATCTTACATCTCAGATCATAAGGGACAAAACTGCTTTATAAATCGGTAAAATATGTACAGCCAAAAAATGTTAATTATTTTTTGACTATACGCAGACGACGACATGTTTCATTAATATCACTATCATTTTGGCCTTTTCCTCCAAGTCGTCAATACACTAAGTTTTTCCAAAAAAATCAGACAGCAGAGCTTATCCCGTTCTCTTAAAATAAAAATCGTGCCTGGATAAACTTATCTTATTAAACTAATTCAATCATTAAATTGGTAGCACTCTCATTTCTTTAATTTTTATTCCATATCTTTATAAAAAAATATGAACGTGATTATGGGTATAAAAGATTGTTGGATGTATATGTGTATCAAATATAAAAGTTATTTCACCTTTTAATAAAATATATAATGTGATAAACATACAAAATACTGTTTAAAAATAAAAAAATAATCAATCGTAATACAAGAGTACTTTGATGAAAACTGGATATTTTTTTTCGCCATTTTTCACTATCTTTTTTTTTATCAAGTGCATTGTTCAGAATTTTTTTACTATTTTTCAATGTTACGTAAGGCTTAAATACTTAAGCTGAAGAATTAAAATAAAATTTTTAAATGCCTTAAAAAGTTATCCTTTTTGGCAATCCTGAAGTGCTGGATGGAAGTTTTGCAATTGCACATTTTGGAAAAATTTGTTCACATCGATTAAAAATAATCATGTAGTTTCATTGAAATAACTCATATATATAAATTTTTAATTATATATGTATGGGGCATTCTTTCTCAACCGGACACCCCCATCCTATCCAGAATTTGTTAGTCTCCAAAATATTGTCCAGCAGTGCAAATGAAAGCTTGGAACCTCTACTTTCGAATGCTGTTTGGCCAAATTCGTACAACTCATTTTTAGACACAATATGGCGGCTTTGCAATGTGGCTTAGTTTATTCACAGAGCCAATATTATTTTGAGATTTTTCTTAAATCGACTTTTCATAGTGACTCACGTTTCTATAAGCCTAGGCATTAGTAGTACATGGAATAATAAAAAATATTAGATCCATTATGGCGGTCGAACTATAATCAGTGGTGCAAAAATTATTTTAAAATCATTATTAAACTCGGTTATTATTGTCATTTAAAGCCGCCATATTGTGTCTAAAAATGAGTTGTACGAATTTGGCCAGACAGCATTCGAAAGTAGAGATTCCAAGCTTTCATTTGCACTGCTGGACAATATTTTGGAGACTAACAAATTCTGGAGAGAGGATGGGGTGTCCAGTTGAGAAAGAATGCCCCATATATAAATTTAGTGCTTGAATAAAACCATGGCTTTTTTATTTAGAAGTATCTTACGTTGATTTGAAAAAAAAACAATTGATTGTCTCCAAATTTATCGCAATTACTTTAAATTATTGTTGTTCTAACGGATTAAAGTTATCTTTTTTTTTCAATTAGTCTAATAATGATTTATGTAAGTTAGGATAATAGTTATAATTCAAATTCTTACAACCATTATTGGAATAAAAGTAATCGACTCATCTCATTTTTCAAGACACTTGTAAAATCGATAGAAAGAGGAAAGTGAAAGTTAATGTAAATTATGAAAGTAATTGAAATCAACTGATCTATTAGTACCACTGCCTAGTTATAAATGTTCTCACAGCCAATGTTTCAGAATTGAAAGCTGTCAACTAACGAAATCGATTTTGAGTCAGCCAAGTTGACGATCATTTATTACAGTTTGAGCTCAACATGATTCTTTTTTATTTTGTGCTTAAGCTGCGTCAGTCCAATTATTTTTTTGATTTCCAAAAAATGTGTGCGTTGTCCGAAACATGATTATAAACTATTTATAACTTGTGAAACAGATGTCGTACGTGCTAGCCAACATTTTCATTATATTGCCAACGTCATTGTGCAAGCCTTGCAGATATATAATTTTATTGTAGTATAAAATAAATACCTTGAATCAATATCCTAGCAGTCATACAAGTAGATGACTCAACAACTATTGAGCTGCTGCTACAACATTTTTGAGGTGAGTGCCAAAGGAAAAGTGGCATGAAAACATTTATTTTCATCATATATTTTTTCGTACCCACTCGCCTTTTTTCGTAGCCACGCTATAAGGTCAAGTTTTTTCAAATTTAAAGATAAATACCGATTAGTCAAGTATATATCCACGGACATACTTAGTTATTTTTTTTTCATCTCATTCTAATAGTTGTTTCTTTTCTAGTGAAATACACTCAATAAGACGATTAAAATTTGTACTTCTTTAGAAATTCATTTTCCTCGTAAGGTCTTTGCAATAAATTTTTTTAATAACCGTCAGTAAATTGTTATTTACTCTCAGCTACCAATTTTATTTCGTACGCTGATGGCACTGATAACATGGATACTCTAAAATTAGATCTCAGATAACTTATCGTCAGCTTCTAAAGTAATGCACATTAGGTACACAAACATAGCACGGCAACAATATGTCAAATACTCTTTATGAGATAAAAAATTTTTTTACAAACATAGCTTCTGTTGACCTCCTTTTAATGTGAAAAATTTATATTAAAAATAGCGATATAAGGTTGTAAGTATTGTACTGCTGCTGAGTTCGGGAATAAAAAAAAATCGATTCCCACGTAAATTTATTACACACTGAAAAAAAAAAAAAAAAAAAAAAGGTTAAAGAAACATTGGGGTGACTAAAAGAGGCGTAAAAACGAGCCTGCGTGGATATACGTAAATACAAAGCACAGTGACGAGAGAAGGTGAGCTAGAAGGAGGAAAAGAAAAAGGGAAATTCATGTGTATGCGTAACAAGTGTGTGCGCGTATTTGTTTGTCCGCAAGCTATACATGTAAAAATCTCTAAAAAATACCACAGCGTACGGCAACTAAAATTAAAAAAAATA